TTTTTTTGCTATCAACATTTATGTTATATGGTGAGAAAGCTAGCTAGCTGCACATCCTTTCCAATACAAATTTCAAAATTTTGCAGTTTTTAATGGGTAGCATACATTTCCCAATTCAGTGCTGTGAATTAGGCTAGTTTTCCAACATATCCACCTTTTATTTTTTTAAAAAAATTCATCTTATTTTCTTTCTACTTTGTTGGAGCACTTAGTACATATGTTATATATTGATCATTTATCTCCATCTGTATTTTTAATTGCATTGTCAATTATTTGGTTTGTTGCTTAATTCAGTTTTGGACTCATATTCAGTAGTGAAAGTTTCAGACTAGCAAAGTTTTGCCTTTTGGTCAAACAAATGACTAGACTGAGAGAAATAATAGCATTACTCAAAATTAACAGGTTTTGAGTATAGCGTTTTTGTATTCAGCCAAGAGTATGCAGTAACTACTTACAATTAGAAATTTTGACATAAGCAATGTGTTTGTCAGATTGTAATGACTGACAACAAAAATAGCCAACTAGCACAATGATATTACTTAAGCTTTAAGAATGTTTTACATAAGAATGACCGTGGAGTAGCTCGGTGAATCATATAATTATAGATACTTGAGCATGTCTTTCTAGTAAAAGATTTGTAGTTCAATGAGCAAAGTGATAATATTTTTGAGCACTGATCAGTGATGCAAAGTATTCCATTCAGATGAGAAATTCCACATATTTGCTGAAACTAAGAGCTTTTTCCTCAAAATGTTAAATTTTTTTCCCTTGTCAAACAATACACTTCATAGAGTAAGCTTAACTCACCATGTTTACACTGAGATTCTGAACTTAGCATGATTGTGAACATGCTTTTGATCCTATGTCACTTTGTTGGAAAAAAATTGCAATAGTACCAAGAGATTGCTAGCCTTTCAAGTAATGAACTTAATCAAGGTCAATATTTCAAGTGATTAGTATAACACACTTGGGCCCTTAATTTGTTCTGAACTTAGCTCAAGGCCATTGAATAGTTTGTTAGAGCTTTTGTTTCTTTTGCTATTTATGCTATAGGAAAAAAATGCTAAAATCTATCTTTCACTACTTAGGAACATGGTGGTCACTATGTTGTGTTGTCTAGCAAAGTATTTGATAATCATCTTACGTTGTCTGTCTGCTTTTATGTTTAATTATTTTTCAATTTATGATCTTTTTCTTTATATGGTAAAAGGTATATTGGAACAAAAGTCTTCAACTATCACGGTTTACTATTATATGGTGATGCAGATAAGTACCTACATATTCTTGAGCATGCAAAAAATGAGGGGCTGTTTGCTTGGCGAGAGCTTTCTAGTTTCAAATTAGATCCATCAGGGCACTCTCAAAAGGAACTCTTTCTTCTTCTTTATATGGTGATGGTTTAGGTACAATTCAGCATTCCCATAATGCTTTTTATTTTCCTATATTCAATTGCTCTGCAGCTTTGATCTAATGGCATCTTTTCTTTTGTTGTAGGCATACCAAGTTTAGTTTTAGAATCCACAATGAAGCATTTGTAAAAACACGTGGAATAGTATAAAAGGCTGATGGTGTAAAAGATTTTTTCGAGGCTTAGACATGCAGCAACAAAGATTATTCGAGCTGGCTACGAGGACTCTCTTGCATGAGGTAACACTTCTCTTTCTGATGAACAATTTATGATTCAGGAAAACGTTATCTAGCTTCAAAGGCAATTAGAAGGAGCAATGAGATGAAATTCTACATAATCACATTCATAAGTATCAGGAATACATCTTTTCAAAACTCACCTTCAGACCCCTCCCCCTAAAGGCACTACTTTCTGTATTCTTCTTGAGTAATATATCCCTAATTTTCTGACATGAATGAAACTGTAAATAGCAACTTTTTCAGTTATTAGCACCTTAAATATGAAGAAATATCAAGAAATAGTGTTGCTCTTTAGATGATTGAATAGTCAAGTAGTGCCTTGAAGCAGTTGCTTGATATGTTATCGAAATAGAGCTATTTGGTGTAATAATAGGCAATTTTCTTTTGATCAACCTTGTTGGTAGTACAATCAATGTGGATGGCATCCTCCTGGTGAAAGAGAGTATCCATGTCTTGTCAGGGGAACTTATTATGCAAAATACTTGGTTAGTTAGTTTTCCGTTGCAAAAATTCAAATTGCTTTCGTAATCATGCTAAAATTACAAAAAAACAAATAAAGAGATAAATAAATAAATAAATAAGAAAAAAATGAACCACCTCAAAGTATTCTAGTTCCTATCTACTAATAAAAACTCAACCTTGAAAATCAGCTTTAAGGATGATATGTAACTTTGTTACATTTAATGACTGCACAAATAACCTGTGAAATTAATAATGTGCATTATCTCCATTAAGTAGCTATGGGGGAAGAAATATCAAGAAAATGCCATTTAATTATCAAGAAATATCATTTGTCTAGATTAGTATTTGTAGTCTCTTGCAAATTTAGTATTTTCAATTATTTAGAGAATTCTTACAAAATTAGTTTTGCGATTTTCAAAGTTGCAATTGTTTAAAAATTTTGGGAAGAATTTGGTACCTGAATGCTACCGTCATTCTGTAATGTTCATGTCCTTTTTCTTTTTATTTGTTAGGGTAAATTACATTTTACCCCCCTGTGGTTTACCCCTTTTTTACATAACCCCCCTATGGTTTCAAAAGCTATACATAACCCCCTCATAGTTTGGATTAAAGTGTCAAAGTAACAGAAATAGTCACTTGTAACGGAACTTTTAAAAATGTCGAAATTACCCTTATAAATACATGACACATTAACCCCCTATGATTTTTATATTTTACCATATAACCCCCTTATAGTTTAATACTTTACCATATAACCCCCTTATGATTTTCAAAATATACACATAACCCCCCTTGGTTAATACATAAATTTCAACCTTACATAAGGGTATTTTTGACATTTTAGGTGATGCCGTTACGAGTGACTATTTCCGTTACTTTGACACTTTAATCCAAACCATAAGGGGGTTATGTATAGCTTTTGAAACCATAGGGGGGTTATGTGAAAAACGCTAAACCACAAGGGGGTAAAGTAGAATTTGCCCTATTTGTTATTCATTGTGCATGTGGTTGTGGACTTTGATTTTGAATTTCAAGAATGCAAGGACCATTCCTATTGAAACAAGTTGTCTTATTAACATATAGTCAAAAGAGCCTTGAGCCTCTTGGAGTTTCGTCGTCCCTTGCAAGCGTATGTCACGTGACTAAATTCTTTTACTCAGCAAGCACTTATTTAGTCAGATCCATTTGGTTGCTGCACTTTGACCGTATGGCTTTTCCCCTTGTTCTAAAAGTCTTCCACGTTGACAGCAGCGCCGCTTCATTTTAGCCTACAAGCATCCTCAGATTCAGGCTCTTGCAACCGATACATAGCTTTCCTTTCTAACCACCACACCCAGATTATCAGGCCACAATCCTTCCGTACCGATCTTTTCGTCACCAACTTTCCAACGTCAAACTTTCCCCCTTTTCTTCTGGTTGTACGACACAGCCGATTCTATTGGGTTTCCTTCCATTACCCCTACTGGTGATTTTTTCCTCGTTTGTTTGTTGTCTTCTCAACATTCATCCTTGGATGGGTTATATAAGTAATTTAGTCTGGATGTAATGAAAAAGCTTAGAGCTGATTTACAGGACAAGCTATTTCCGTACTTGTGTGCCTGCTATCTGAAGTGGTCGCTGATGGCTGGTTTAATTGGAGTGAACGTTCATGTGTCAGAGGTAGCTGTTGCTAATTCAAGCTTTCTTTTGGCTATATGTTAATTATTGAAGCGCTCTTTTGTTCATTCTTTCTTTGTGCTTCCTCTGCCTTTGTTGTTGCTCTTGCTCTCATTATTCTTCAGCCTTCCTCCTTCTTCCGCTATTGGTCTTTCGCTTGTTTTTATTATTGCTCCTTCTAGTGGCTTGCCTGTATCAGATTCTGCTGCTTTCTACTTATATTGCTAGTAATTTACCGGATTTTTCCTTTCCTTCTTTTTATATTGCATATTGTTTCTTGATTTGCTTTTGATTGGCTTTTTATTACTGTTATGTCTACGATTTTTCCACCCTTTGTTGATTTTTCTTATATTCAATGTGTGTTTGTTTTGGTGATACCCTTTTATACTTGATTCTTTCTTTGCCTCTGTTTAGCCTGCTAAATTATGCTTTCCACCATTTAATTTTCCCCCTCCCCCCCCAAAACCAAAAACAAGCAAAAAAAAGTCCTCCCATTCTCACTCTGAAAGCCTTTACCCATAATTCGTCCCCACCAATATATATATGTATATATATATATAAATATACTGTTTTGCCTTTACAAACATGCCATTTGTTTGTATGTGTTCTTAAAAATAAGAGGAAAGACAAAAGATCTTTGTTGATGCTATCTTGTTTTTCGCCCTCCTTTTATTCCTTTTAATAGTTCTTGAATTTTTTTAAAGTCTATGCTTTTGCTATTTATTTGAGAGCTCTTCGTTAATAATTCCTTTGTTTTCTTGTTTGCCAGTGTTAATATAGCATTTTTTATAGTATTTTCAGCCTTTTTAAAATTGATTTTGTCTCAGTCAGTATTTGTTTTTCTACTTGTACTGATGTTTTATTTATTTCTGCTGCTATTTCCTATAGGCCTTTCTTCAGTCACCATTGCAAAGTCGCTACAAGGTATGTTAGTGCTCCGTTTTACAGTCATCTTGGAAAAAAAAATGAAAGCTTGAGAGTAGGAAAGATTTTCCCCAAATGAGAAGCATAATCAACTTACTTTTGGTGCTAATGGTGAAGAAATAATGGGATTTTAGTTCTGTTATTGAGGTTGCAATGCTTGTTTCCGTTTTCAATCCATTGATGATTACTCTCATTCAAGTTTATACAGATTAATCTGTACTTGTTTGGCTTACCAATTGGATTTGCGGAATAGGTCATATTTTAACGGCGTGTTTAGCCTTCTAATGCTCTTCAAACCAATGGATCTGCATTTAAAATGCTGAAAACATACTGCCATAGACGAACGATTGATCCAAGCGCCCTTGAGATCCTGTTCACTATTAATATATTCTTGAATGGCAGCTTATTGGGTTGATGCAACTGTCTCCAGTCATTGTATTCTTTATAGATTTTTACTGTATATTGACATACAACATTTGGCGTTAATAAGTACTAAAATATGTAGGAAGTACAATAGCCTTGCACAATTGCATCTAAATCAGTTGCCCTGGTGTATAATAAGCGTGATTTAGATAGGGAAAAGCTTAATGCCAAGTACAACTGCAGTGAAGTACAACATGGACATTGAAAATCATCATATGTATGTGCATTTTTTCTTGTCAACATTTGTTTGTTGTGCCATCAAAATCATATGGCTGGAGCAGAATGTAACTTGGCATAGAAACACTGAGTACAGGAAACTAGTAAACACTGAGTACAGGAAACTAGGAAACTTGAAGTTTGATCTAATGTTATTCACAGAGCTCAAAATGAACACAAAATTCCCTTGGACAGTTCCACTTTCTGATATACTAAAGCTACATGTTCCAGGAAGTAACGGTATGTTATGCTCTAATCCTTTTCTGCCAAATTCAAAAAGATTTGCTACAGTCATATCTCACAAATTTTATTGTTTATCATTTATACCAGATAAAAAGGCTAAATACATCTTATATCAACATGTTTGCTCATCAATAAAGCCAAACATTGCTCAAGATGAAGCAGATTCTATAGCTTTTTATCAAGTTTATAACAAAAAGAATAGAGACAAATTTGTAAGTCTATGTGCTCGGTCCTTTTATCCTTTCCTTATCTAATCTCTTATACACTACTTTACACACTTTAACTATTTTCCCCCACCTTTTTCCTTAGAAAATTCCAAAGTTTCTCGAACATATCGTAGATAGCAATAAAACTCCAGTTGTCACTTTAAGGACTGGATATAAAGCTTTTCAAGTTGGAATGCAAGGAAGGCAATTCACAAGCTATTGGGAAATCTTTGTCAAAACGCATGAGTTGGAACTAGGCGACACTTTGGTCTTCATCCCAGAGTCCATTAATAGCTTTACAGTCCAGATTTACAAACCAAATGGAGTTGAGAAACTTTTCCCTTGGTATCATAAGTATTATGTGTATTCTTATTTGTAGATTCCTTTCACGTTCTAGCTATAAACACAGAATTCATCTTTTTGTTTAAGTATGTATCACTAATGTCTTTTGTCAATTATATGACAGTATAGATTCTTACTAAGATTTTTGTGCTATAATAGTTAGAGTTTTAAATATTTTATTTACTTTGCTTTTCCTTCTTTATCAGATAGCACCAACGGATTTTTCCTTTTTAATTTATAACCTTTTAATTTACCATGTCATATAATGCAATAAACATAAAAAATTTATCCAACAATCTACATAGATACACATGAACATTAATAACAAATTATTAGACAAACAAACAACTACTTATTTAATAATACCACACCATATAAACTATTAGCAGCAAGCTACAAAATAATAACATCTATCACACACCAATTACAGCAAATTTTTTAGTCATTTTGACTATTGAAACTATCAAACTCTCAAAAGAAAGTAATATTAGTTGCCGCAGCATTTGCTCATCAACATCTGCCTTCATTCTTCAAGCAATTAGCTGCAACATAGATAGACCTCTTATCTAGAGCTCACATCACGTATATATATTGCTACCTTTAATACAAACACGTCATAGCAAGATTGCTTATTTTAACCTATCATTTAAATACAGACCTTAATTATGCAAATTAATTTCGTAAACATCTTAGTTATCGATACATTCTCTCTCTTTTACATTTCAAATATCCATCCATTCTAACTAAACTCAAAACAACTATATATTACAATATTTATACAAAACATTATATTTATATTTTTTAAAAATCAGACCTTAATTCAAATCCATCCCTCTTCTCTTAATTTAATATTCCAAAACTAAATTAAATTTTCAGATTTAAGTTTTTTCTATTTTGCATTATGAATGTTTAATTATGAACAAACTCTCTCATTCTATGTTCTATATTCATAAGTAAACACCTAGTTTAATATGCCATTAATAAGTAATTTATAACAAGATTAATACTTGTCAAAAAAATCATCTTCCAAATGCTTTGATATAAAATACAACGAAACAAAATTCCAAACAAAAAATTTAAAAATCTTATTTTATCTAATAGCTATCTTATTTCCAAAAAAAAATATTATTCACTTTAACTATTATTCATGTACGACATTCGTATATTAAATTTATATTAAACACTTATGATCTTCTTCCTCAACCTTTGTATATCTACAGTCATTTACTAATATTCATATAGCAACCATAATACAATAAAATATAATTTTTCCAAAGATGAGTGGGCACAAATCTTGTATTACCGCGCAGCGCGCGGCATCAGATTGCCTAGTCATCTTAAAGGGGCTATTTGCTTGGCAGTGGCATTCTAACTTCAAATGGATCCATCAAAGCTCTACCGAAAGGAAGACTCTTTCTCATTCTGTAGATGGAGAAGGTTTAGTTACATTCAGAATGACTATAATGCTTTCTCCTTTGCTATATTCAATTGGTGGATAACTCTTGATCTAGTGGCATCTTCTCTTATGTCGTAGGCAATGATAAGTCCAGTTTGAGAGTTTACAGTCAACCATTGGTAAAGATTCATGGTACAGTATAAAAAGAAAAGGGTGGAATAAATCTTTTTAAGGCTTAGAGCTCTCCTGCCGCAATGAAAATGATTTTGGCTGGCTGCTGGAATCCTTGTGCATGGGGTACACTCCTTTTTGTGATGAAAATTTTCTTATTCAGGAAAAGTTTATCTGACTGCAAAGACAATTTAAAGGACCGACCTTTAAATTGTATTGCCTTCAAGTAGTAAATAGCAACTTTTTTCATTATTAGTGGCTGAAATATTAAGAAATAGTGATGCTTGTCTGCCGGTTGAATAGTCAGTCAAGTACTGCCTTGAAGCAATTCCCTAATTTATCTTCCAAAAGGAGGTGCTTGTTGAAACAATGGGCAACTGCTAGTTTTGGTTCATTTGGTATGGAGTAACTGAAGGATGAAGTTGCATATATTCCTTCTTGTTTGTAGTTCTTGAAATTACTTGTTCATCTGTAGTTGGCAAATCAGAATATTTTGAGATTCTTAGTTGTTGAGTTAGTTCTTATGCCGTAGTGGATTATGGGTGTCTGTTTGACAATGTTAACAGCACATTACATTCGTTTTTGTTGTTAATTCTCTAATGGAACTCTGTGTTGGTACACAGTTGTTTGAGTGCTAGAGATCAGATGAATTGTCTGAAGTCATGCTAGGGAAGTTTTCCTGTGTATGAGAAGCTATGAACACAAGCTATTCTCTCAATCTGGCGCTAGGGCACTGCTTTAATTCAGGGTTATTGAATGGTTGATGGCAAAGATGCCATGTTAATACTCTGCTTTTGTTCATTTTAATGTTACATAAAATTCTCTAGCCTATCATGAGATGTACATCATTTTGAGTCTTTAAGATGAATTAGGTTAATGGATGGTGAGAAGGTCAAAATTTTTACATGGAATTCTGATGGATATCATTCAATCCGGAAGTAAATTTCTGAGAGGAAGGCTCGCATTATTGGAAGTACACATCATGTGGATGGCAATCTCCTGGGGGAAAAGAGTGTCCATGCCTTGCAAGTGGAACCGATCAATAGGCAAAAATCTTCAAGTACTTAGGAATGAATAGGCAAGTCAAATACCTTTATGTTACTTGTGAACACACTGAAATAAATGAACAAATAGATAAATACAACCAAAAAGAAATGAACACTTCAATGTATTTTGTTTGCTTACTATAGATAAACAAGTCAACTTCAAGAACCAGCTACAAGAATGATATGTAACTTCATTATACATTCATTGCATACCCTATGAAATAAATAATAGTAGATTGTCCATTATCTTCACTAAGAGTTCCACTAGGAAGAAATATCAAGCTACTGCTTTAAGGCACTACTTAATTATCAAGTAATATCATTTATTGACATTATTTTTTAGGTTTCTTGCAAATTCAGTGTTTTCAGTTATCTAGTGAATTCTTACAAGGTGAACTGTGTGGTTTCCGAAATTGGAATTGATTAGAAATTTTGGGAAGGATTTTGGTGCCATAAATGCTGTTGCAATCCTCTGTCAGTCTTATCCTTTCGCTTTTTATCTGTTTCTTGTTGTTTATGTTGTTGAACACTTCTGAATTTGTTTCTCAAAGCTATCAGGACTATTTCGATTGAAACAGTTGTCTTGAACAAAATCTAGAGTCCTGATACATCGTTTAGATAGCTTGATCACTTAGATAAAGTATGAGTTTGGCTATATTGCTGGTGCAAAAGGGTTTCTAGCCTCTGTAACCTGATGTTAATCTATTCATGGCAAATTTGGCGCAACCAAAAACATTGAGATGCTGAGTTCCAAGGAACAAAGTCAAGTTTAATAAATTGGAATAATTTAGCTAGCTACTTATCCTCTTATATTCATGTCAGGATTAACTGCTCATGATTGAAATCTGCATTTCATTCATTTAAAAATTAACTGCTCATTTATATTGTTATCTTTTTAGAATTGAATGTTAGTATTTCTTTTTTACTCTGTTGGTGCCTGATGGTAGCTACTTTTTTGCTCAAAGGACACTCTATGAATAGCAGGGTCATCACACATATTGAGGAACCTCTTCTATTTCTCTTAAGAATATGCAATGGGGATGCAACTCCCAAGGTTAGGTCTTAACATGGCCTAGTTCAAGACCTCCTTCACAGTCGCACTAGAAAAAGTAAGCAGAAAACTTCCTTGGTTGGAGGGATTTATCTGGGCTCTTCCAAGAGGAAGATTCGTGCACTTTAATTATATAGAGAGTGTTAAATTACAATTCAGCATGAATGTAATGCTTCCTATATTGGTGTATGCTTATTATGCAACTTCTGATCTGATGCCATTTCTTCCTGTGGTTGTAGGTAGTTTTGAGTCTAGTTTGAGAGTCTACTCTCAGATTGGTAAATCGTGGAGGAACATATGAGGTTGACAGCGATACATCTTCTTGAGGCTTGAAGTTATCCAAGAAGCTCCAATTGAAAATCATTCTGGCTGGCTGCAGGGGTTCTCATGCATGAGGTACACTTCCTTTGTGTTGAAATTTCTCCGAATCAGGAAAATTTATTTGATTTTCATCAATACTGCTGATTTTTTTTGTGACTTTGTGAAATTTTCGTGAACAATAGAATCAGTAATGTCTTCTTAAATTGCCATTTGTTTTAAACTTGTCAGAAATTGTGAATCTTCCACCCATGGTTTGCAAGGTAAATCACAGAGCTATGGATAAGCAATACATGGGAAAGCTACTGGTTGGATTAAGTTGTGGTATGTCCTTGCTCCCATAATCATGCATTTACTTCCTAAATCTATTACTTCCACTTTTCTGGAGCCTATTTACTATTGCACCAAGTAGAAACCAAATTTGTTTCCATTTAGATGACAACTGCTGCGGATGAGGCTTGTCAGCCCTTTTAAAGAAACATAGCCTGGTCGAATTGAGAATCTTTCATCTGTTGAAGGGTTCTAAGTTGGAAAATGCAAAAAGCTTGAGTAGTAATCCTCCCACCAATCCATCAGAAGTCTGGATATAGGATGTGTATCATGTGATTTATAGGGAGGATGCTGTCACAAGCGGAGCTACCCCAACACTAAGTGGTGCAAGAGCTTTGAGATTTCTGTTTTTGTTAATATTCTAATTGAATGCTGAGTTGTCACAATTAAATTCTAAGAAAACTCTAGTCTACACGTCTGTTAAGGACGTCTTCAATTCTGTAATGCTATCTTCAATTCTGTATATTCAATCTCATGATGCTATACATTCTTTTGACATTTTGCCGAACAGACCCTTATTGCTATACGTGAAAGTGAATTGAGTTTTAGAACAGAACACATTGTAAGGTATGTGATCTTGCACAATATATCTGAGTTTTAGAAAATTTGGTGCGAAAAGAATTTGCAAAATTTGTTATTGTAGAGAAAAAAAATGTACAATTAGAAATGTGAACGCAGGGCATCTACCAACATTGTTTTTGGAGACTAGTACTCTTGATGATGTGTTCACCTGCAAGCTTTTGCGTGTGTTTGTATTAACAGGGACAAGGTATTAAGCAGTTGCCAACTTCAATTAGCAAGGTGATAGGTTTAGTGCACCTTAATCTATCATTTACTACAATCAAAACATTGTTAGCTATGTTTGTAAGGTTTGCAACTTAAGACACTTTTGAGAATTGACTGTCTCGAGAGCTGATCAGTTTAGGATTTTGATAACCCTGAGACAATTTGATCTGTTTGCATTTGACTCCAAATTTAAAATGTCATCTAAAATCGGGCAACTATCTTGTTTTCAAACATTAAGATTCGTTAATGGTGGTCAAACTGACTCATCAAATTGAAGAACTGGACTATTTAAAGAACCTCTCTAATAGTGGAGATGACTGACAAACTTGGGATGGAAGTTTTCCGGCCTCGCGCAAATTTGAAAAGCTTAATATTTTCTGAGATTGTATGTAAGAATTGAAATCATTTAGCTTAATGGGATATGATGGTGGAGATGACTGATTCTCTGACTCAACAATTTAATAGTGGTCAAATTGCTGCATTGCAGAAAAATGCAAGGTATCCCCCAACGTTTGGGAAACTGGAATCATTGACTTACTAATGTTCAGGAACACATGCATGTTTCTAGTAGCCCCTCATCGTGCTCCTCTTTTTTTTTTTGTCACAACGATAGAATTCCTATAACCTAAACTAGCCTATTCTAAGGGGAGGGGGGAGGGGACTCGATGAGAGTAGATGGCCAATGAAAACCGTCACAAATTGTAACAAATTTTTTGTGGGAGGCAGGGTTCGAACCCATGACCTTTTTGCATCACCAAACCTTAGAATGCTTGGGATAACCACTGGACTAAAGGCCCAATGGCAATCGTGCTCCTCCAAATATAAGAATTCAATGCTTAGATAAATTGGAAGTTTTGCCCATGGCTTACAAAAAATGGATTTGGAAGTTTAAGAAAATTATCAAGTTGCCAAACCATGGTTAAAAAGGACCTCGATATCTGAGTAATAAAGCACATAAAGAATTGAATTTCTCATGCACTTTTACTTTTTTTTTAAGATTTATTGGGTAAATTACACATAACCTTCATGTGGTTTTTACATAATGCTACATGGCCTTCTAACGTCTCAAAATATTTACACAACTTTCCTGTAGTTTCATATAAAGTAAAAGTTGATAGAAGATAGCCTCGTTAATGTTATCAATTGAAATACGAATGTAGACTTAAACGAGAACAACGGTCTAACCACCTTGCATAAAACTTAGGAGATTATGCAGATAAATAGAAAAATTATAGAAAGTAAAGTAGATATTTATGAATATCATAGAAGGGTTAAGTGGCTATTATGATTCTATCACATAAATTTTTAGAGTGTACTTGGTTCAATTACAATAACCGGTAATACTTTCTTTCCATTTTGCACTTTACATAAAATCACAGGGAAATTATATTACTATTTTAAAATCTTATCGGATCATGCGATAATAGAAAAAACACACGGGATTATGTGTAATTTACCCTAAATTTATTCGTCCTTTTTGCTCTCTGAATCATTTCACATTTGTTGTTGTTTTCTTTATGTTAAACCTGCCTCACATACTATTTTTATTTTGGCTGCAAATAATGCATAACCTGCTTATTGTTATAACTCTTTTAGAGCGTTTACTTGGATAAGCAGTACAATCAGTGACTAGCATATCTATATCCTATAGTTACTTTTCTTAAGCAATTACTTTGCATCCCTTGTTTGAATTGTATAGACTATGGAAAATTGTTACCGGATTAATGAAGTGGAAAGAAATGTTAATTGCCTTAGATTTTACAAACCAAATTTTTTCTCAGTATTTTTATTTATTTCAATCGATTAAAATATCATTAATGCCTTTTGTTTGGATTGAATATAAAATGTGCCTTTATTAGTTAAGTTTAGTTGCTAAAAGCATAATCTTCCAAACGTGACATATCAAATTCAAAAAGAAATGTTAATTGCTTTAGACTTTACAATCTAAATTTTTCTTTTTTTTTTATTAATCTTACAATAATGAAATATGGCCACATTTGAGATGGGTTAGTTTTAACAAAATTAAAGTGAGCAATTAAGGGAGAATTGCAATTTTGGTCCCTAATATTTGGCCTATGTGCCAAATTGGTCCCTAATGTTAGTTAAAACAAATTTACTCCTCAAAATTTATGATTTTAGGTAGATTTTAGGACCACTAATGAAAATGGAATGGGTGATTAACATCAAAGTCAACAACTTTGACTTTGCACTTTTAGTCCCCAGTGTTTTTATTTTGAATCATTATATTTCCCTAATTTTTAAATAGTGATATTAAAGGTTTTAGCATGAATTAAGATGCAAATTAGAATAAGATAGTATTAAATAGGTAATAACAGTTCTAGTTAAATTTCTTTTTATTCTATTCCTTTATTCCATTTATTCATGTTGATAATATTTCTTTTTTTTTTCTTTTGCATAGTTAGTCTTAAATTTGGTATAATATATGTATATTATTGTTTCTCACTATTCATAATTTATTGCAAATTACTTTTATTATTTTTATTTCTAATGATAATTAAAAAACTTAATTAAATATCCCTTAAAAATATAAGGAATATATACTTTTTGTAAATTAAGTTGATATTTTTTATTTTTATTTTTTGGCAATTTAGTAAGTTATCAATTGAGTTTGTGAAGTTGGCATTTGGTACACATTATATGAACCATTAAATGATTATCAAGGCACACAGATATTAAAGCAAATGCTTTAAAACTACAATATTGGAACATTAGTTTTTAATGCCAGGAAAGACAACAATATAGTTTTCTTAAGGATTTCTGAAATTACTTCACATCGATACTTACCTTCACGAACTTTATAAGTAAAGTGGCTAACTACAAGAATTTGAAATCTACATGCACAAGTCATGCAATAATTTTTGTAACAGTAACTATAATAAACTTAGATTATAAAACTAGAATTGTCCTTTTCTTCCACTATTTTATGTTTCATTTATTATTAGCATATTATCATTCAATGATAACTTAATTTAACAAAAATATGCTATTTAGTCTATGATCATGTTGCGCCAACAACAAACTATGCAATTATTCCCTTTGTTCCACTTTGTTAGTTTCACTTTTTAAAAAAGATTTTTCCACACAGTTTAAAATAAATTAATCAACATCCTTCAAAGAATAAATTTAGTTTACCTTTTTCTTGAATTACTCTTACATCAACATTATATGACTAATTAATTACCGCAACATTTAAGACCATTAACACAATAGTATTTGATGAATGGGCTTGGAATGGTTGACTTTTGATATGCCAATACATTTGGCTAAATTAAGTATTATACCTATTACAATTGAATAAGATAGATCATATTAATTGATAATTTGGGATACATGAAAAAGAAAAATAAGTCTAACAATGTGGGAAAAAGAGAGAAGAAGAATAATTAAAAGTGCATGTAAGCTTGTTATTGTCTCATGTGGTAATCAAGCAGTCGTTCCTGAGAACCGTCCGGATTTGGGAACGCATGATACTGAAAAGGTGCAAATCTAGTGAATGTTTTATGTGAAAATCAGGTAGTCATTCCTGAGAATTGCCTGGAGTTGGGAAGGATTTGCGATGATACAGTAGTTCGTTTGAGTGGCCGAGAAGGAGTACCTCCAACCGGCTCTCTTCAGACTCTGAGGATGCACCGAGGGAGGTGACAGACAGGAACTCCATGGTATAGTCCTTAAAGTAGTTCAGTGAATCTTTGTCGCTGCGTCTGTCCAAGCCGGATACGGCCCAAGATGAAGAGGGGTTCACGGTGGTGGTTTCACAGAAGTAGAAGAGAAGGAGGAATCATACCAAAATTCCTCGGCAAATTTAAACTAGACAAGCTGCTAAAGCCACGGACGGTTTGCTGTTGGTTTTGACAATGAATAACATCTTAATCTAGAATGTTAGGGGTGCGATGGGCAGAGCTTCTGTTTGTCGTTTAAAACTTTTAATTCGTTTACATGGTATCTCTGTTTTAGTTTTAATTGAGCCACTAGCGGAGGCGCAGAATATAGAGGCTATTCGTAGAAGTTTCTCTTTTGAATTTTGTTTATTCAATTCTTCCAATAAAATCTGGATTCTATGGAGGCCCGGATTCCATTTTCATATTCTATACAATTCTGAACAAATGCTTCATGTTATGGTTGCACACGATTCTTGGGCTCATATGGTGAATGCGACTTTCGTCTATGCAAAATGCACGAGGGCTAAGAAACGGGTTTTGTGGTCTGAGCTGGATTATGTTGCTAGAACAATCAATCGGCCGTGGCTGGTGGGAGGGGGCATTTTTCATTGTTATAGCTTCAACTACGGAATATGCGGGTAGAGCTCCTCAAGATTATTAGGGAGCTTTTTCTGCTTTTACGCAAGCAATGCCAAGATGTTGTCTTCAGGAGTTACCTTTCACTGGCAGTTTGTACACTTGGTGAGGGATAAGAGCAGGGGCAAGAGTTTGGAAGAGATTGGACAGAGAGTTGGTCAATCAGCAATGGTTATACTCTCAGCAGGACACTTTGCTTCATCACCTTAATCGGGCTACGTCGGATCATTTGCCATTGCTACTGCATTTGCGGACTGGTACATCATCCTTTCCAAAGCCTTTTAAGTTTCAATGGTTTTGCGTATCAAGTTTTGATTTTCTTCAAGTGGTGCGAGATAGTTGGAGTTTGCCAGTTCATGGATTTGGAATGTACTCTTTGGCATTTAAGCTGGAGAGGCTAAAGAATCGTTTGAAGATTTGGAGCAAACAGCAGTTTGGTGACATTTAACAAGCTGTAAAGCAACATGAATTTGGACGTTTAGCAGAAGGAAATTCAATATGAAGCAGTGCCTACGGATGAAGCAAGAAGTGCGCTCCATTGTGCGCAAGCGCGGCTACTTTTAAGTTTGAAAAACCAGGAGGAGTTCTGGAGTCAAAAAGCTGGAGTGAAATGGTTAAAGGATGGTGATTGTAATACTAGTTTTTTCCATGCTTCAGTTCGGGAGAAGAGGATGAAGCTCATGATTCATAAAATCAAAGACAGTGCTGGAACTTGGATTGAAGATGATGAGCAGATTGCAGCAGAGGCTGTTAATTTTTTCAGACACCTTTTGGCTACAGAGGAAGTTGGTGATGTTGGCAGGTTGCTGCAAAATATTCCACCTCTTGTTTCTTCGGACAATAACATTCCATTGCTGCATGAGATAACTATGGAAGCGGTAAAAGGGGTTGTGTTTGGACTTCATTAAGATAGTGCCCCTGGTTTGGATGGATTTACTGAGTTTTTTTTCACACATTGTTGGGATATTTTGGCAGAAGATGCGTTAGCAGCGACTAGAGATTTCATGGCTAGAACCCCTATCCCGAAGGGAATTTCCAGCACTCTTATTGTCTTAATTCTGAAAAAAAATTGAATCCTTCTACATTTGCGGACTTTCGGCCCCTTAGTTTATGTAACTTTGTCGATAAGATATTCACAAAGGTGTTGACTAACAGGTTGCGAACTTTCCTTTCCGGCCTTATATCACAGAAGCAATCAGCCTTTGTTCTAGGCAGAGATATATCTGAGAATGTCCTTCTTGCGCAGGAGATGGTGACATTGATTAATAGGAAGACACGAGGCCATAAGTGCATTTTCAAGTTAGACATGATAAAGGAGTTTGATTGGGTTTCATGGCAGTTTCTACGGCTGTTGCCGCAAATGTTGGGTTTTGATAACAGATTTATATTGCCCAATATGAATAATCTCTCTCAGAGCTGGTTTTCTGTACTAATAAATGGTTGATCAAGGGGTTTTTTTCAAGCATCACGTGGGATTAAGCAGGGGGATCCTTTGTCTCTTATTTATACTTGCTTCGGAAGCTCTTAGTAGGGGATTGAAGAAGCACGTGTCGGAGGGTAGTATTATTCCTTCTGCATTGCCGAGGGAAAGTTTGACTATCACACACTTATCCTTTGCTGATGATGTTGTAATTTTTACCAGGGAGATAGAAGATCAGTTAGGAATCTAATGAGCTTTTTGGAGGTCTACCAAAAGGGGTCTAGGCAGAAGATAGAGAATCAGAAAAGTTTTTTTATAACATCGAGGGGATGTGGTGCAGCTCAAGTACAATTCATTAACAATTTGACTAGTTTTTGACAAGGTTCTTTCCCGTTCATGTATTGGGATGCAATCTCTATCATGGAAGGCGCAGACACAGGATTTCTTTCAATTTCTGGTTGATAAGTTTGTTGCAAAAATTGCTGGTTGGAAGAAAAAGCTTCTATCAGAGGGTGGTCATCTAATTTTATCCTCCATTCCTTTGCAGGTTTTGTCAATAATGGATCCCCCTAAAGCTGTGTCCAGGAGATTAGAAAAGATTATGGCGAACTTCTTTTGGGGTGAATAGAATTTGCGGTGCAAATACCATTGGTGTGCTTGGAGGAATTTGTCTTTTCCTACAGCTGAAGAGGGGCCCAGGTTAAGAGGCTTTGAAGGCATACAACTTGCTTTTTGCAGGAGACTATGGTGGAGATTCTGATATGCAGGATCCTTGCGGACTAATTTTATGCACTCTTGATATGGTGGACATGGGAATGCACTAGGTAGTTCCAGAGTATGGAGACGCATGGTCCTTGTTCAGGAGCCATCGAGCAGTTTACTGAAGTATTGGATGTACAGGGAAAACAGTGGTTGGCCTGGACTTTGACGCCCTCAGGATCGTTCATTATTTCGTCATCTTGGGATGCTTTGCGAGCTAAGCGGGTGATTCTAGGGTCAAGAAAGTTAATTTGGAATCGTCGAATCCCTTGCAAAATTGCCATCTTCATGTGGAAATTGATGAACAGGTATCTACCTTTCCCGAAGATTTTGAGCAAGTTTGGTTTCCAACTTCCTTCTAAATGCCAAAATATTGACTCTCTTGATCATGTGCTATCAGACTGCCCTCTTGCGACATTTGTTTGGGACTATTTTGCTCACATGCTTCAGCTTCCGTTAAGTGTTTTCAATGGTATTTGCCTAGGATTCAGCATTGGTGGTTTCACAGTGCCGTGTGCTCAGCAAAGGGAGATGTGCTGATCATCATGCCATCTTTCATTTGTTGGGAGCTCTGGAAGGCCAAAAATCTCTCAATCTATGAGGGGCTTCGTGCTGTTTTGTCGGAATGTCCAAATGTCCATCTTCAGCATTTCTCAGGTTTGTCCATTTGTGCAGAGATCCAACAAGGATGTGATCTTGGTGCATTCGGGATTGGTGTCACATTTGCACACGAGGAAAACTAAAGTGCCATGCACTATATTTTGGACCAAACCGATAAATGGATATGTAAAGTTGAATATGGATGGATCATCGTTAGGAAATCCAGGGTTTTCTGGTGGCAGTGGAGTGATCCGGGATATGGTTGATAATGTCTTATTCGGGTTTGCAGTATTTATGGGTTTGCAGTATTTTTTGGGCATAAGAGCATCTCCAACGCAAGTGTAATGTCTGACATTACACTGGGGGTATTACACGGCCACCCATTGCACGCATCACGCTAATGATGCGTGTAATGGGTGACCTCCACTACAAAATTCCCATGTGCCTAACTCACAATTTCTAGCCAGCAACGTTCATTCTTTCATTTGGCCGGCAAGTTTCATCAGGTTTTTGCAACGGTAAATTTGCAACTCCAACGGTCAAATTTTAGCTTTCTATATAAACATACAACACTTTTTTTTTCTTCATATCCCACTATTCTACTCTATTATGATATCTTCGCATTTGAGGTATCAAATATTTGTTTAATTTTCTGCATAATTATTTTTGAAAAAAAACAATATATTTTTTTGAGAGATAGAAAAAGATATATTATTCAAACTTAAAAATTAATAATATCATTTTTAGAAAATAAAATATTCAAAAGGTAAAAAATTTAATGAAAGTTAGTGCTTTATTTTTTAAAAATAACAAAATTATTTTTAAAAATTACTTTATTTATTTATGGGATATGAGTTATGCATTATTAAAATAAATATTTGATTTAATTGTGGACCTATGCTATTATACCTTGTGGAGTGTAATCCATTGTGACTGAAAGTGTAATAAAAGATAAGAAAGTGGAATGCTGACGTGACATGTAGATTACACTCCACAAGGTATAATCCATTGTGGATGCCCTAAGACTAATATGGAGGCAGAAGCTTTGGCTCTACTTGAGGGTGTGCAGCTTTGTTTGGAACATGGTTTGCATTATGTACAGGTTGATTTGGATTCCAAAGCCTTGCAGCTTATGATGTTAGGTGGTTGTCAGATTCCTTGGAAGTTATGGCAAAACTGTATCTCGTGTTCAAAATCTTACAATTGGCAAGCATTTCACATTCTCTCATATATTTTGAGAGGCTAATGCAGTGGTGAATGTGCTAGCAAATATGACCAGTTCTTCGTCTTGCAATCTGCGATTTTTTGCTGCTCAAATTCCGGTCTATATACGCGGCTTAGCTAAGCTTGATCAGAATCATACGGCTTATATAAGAATGGATTAGGGTCACTTTGTAAGGAAGTAGTGCTCCTCATTTAAAATTTCTCTTTCAAGCTATGTCTTTCCTTCTTCAATAAAGTTGGGCTGACATCCCATCCCCTGCTTTGGGGTTTGCCCAAAAAAAAAAAAAAAGTGCATGTCAGCTTAGGAATGCTTAACTACCATGTTGGCAACAAAAACTAAACTTTTCCATTTCATATTTTAATCAAAGTACATACAATCATTTTACCTACACAACCGGTGGCCTAGTTTTAGTATCAGCTATACCAAACTTTAAGATACCGCCAATTCAATGGCTTTCATTGTCTGGTTGGTCAATGAGTGGATGAGCTATTGTATCTATCGGTAGACAAGCCACTTTGTCTACACAATATAAGCATCGACAGAGAGGAGACATGAGAAGAAAGGTCAAGTTTCCCATTTTGAGTTTTTATGGGGATGGAAAGGATAAAAATGGACAGATATGAGCGGATGGCTTTTGGAGCTACAGTCAAATAAGTGACCAAATTGGTGAGAAATGGAAAAGAGTTGCCAAAATGCAACTTTTAGGCTCAAAAATATAGAGAATAAGATAGCATTAAATTTACCAAACCATTTCTTTCATCTCTTAATCTTCAAAAGAAGATTTAAAAACCCTCTAGTCTCTTGCTTCTCATCTCCTATTCTTTCTGTGTCAACAAATTTTTCTTCTCTCACTCCCCTAAACTCCAAAACTAGCTGTACTTATGCATTGATTCATCTTAACACGTTGCCAGAACTGGGAATCCAGTGTAAGAAAACCAATAGCAAACATGCCCTTTTCAGGAATATTGGAGCAGAAACAGTTTTGATGAGAAAACATCTACAATCCCATGGGGAAAACAAAGGCACCACCAATTTTCCTGCTTTCAACAATAATATCAATTGAAAAGAACAAAAACTCGCACACACAGACGAACACACAAGCAATCGAAACATTCCTGCTCACTTTTTCTATGCAAGTGTAAATGAATCTGGTAACAGGTCACAAAAAAGGGTACTTTTATTTCTTAATCAGGTAATTTCACAGACAAATGATTGGCAGATGGAGCTAAAGGATACGGAAAGCCACATATCTAGTGGTATCATCAAATATGATAAAATGAAACTACTACCACGTTTGTTAGATTGTTGAGAGCCAGGGAAGTAAGAGCTTATATGTACCACTTAGTGGACCATGAATGCATGAAGGTAAGATCTAATTGAAAACTCCAAAACTCTTTTGTCACAATCACAAAAATTGTATGTCTACTTAAAAATAGACAGCGGACATGAACTTCCCTCAACCTAAATTCCCTCTTCAACATGATAATTACTGCAAAAACATATATATAAAACAACATCATATTTCCAAAAATACTCAAATGCTGCACCGCAATGGCTAGCTCTTAAACCTAATGCTGCGGCTGATTGCTGCATTAATACCCGAGGCTTCCCCACCATAAGTACCAGTTGGCTTCCTGATATCTCGCACTTGTCCCTTCCTACGCACCACTGCTTTTTGGTGCTTCAACTGTGAGAGAGAGAGATACATCAGCTATGTAGTTAGGCGTTTAATTTGTTTAAAGAAAAAAGATCAGCAGTTATTGCTAGATACCTTGTACTTCTTTCTTGGATTTTTGGTTAGCTTCTTCCGAGCACGAGTTAACCCTCTGTTCTTCTCCATCTGATAATTGCAAGCACAAATACTTTTAACAGTTAAACACAATATAAACCCATAAACACAGGTAAAATGAGAAATTGTGACCTGATAAGAAATTTGGCGCTTCCCATCTACAAGCGTTTCTGGCAAAGGTGTGAGTTTTGTGGATCTGTCGAAAGGAACAGAAAGCAAACAATAAGCAATCTAAATGCCTCCAGACACATTGACTGCACAATGAAGAATGAGTTAATAAAAAGATTCTTCTGCATGGAGACACATTTGAACATGTATGACAGAAATATAATAAGATAGAATCTGCTCACCGCTTGAAAAGAGCACAACCATGAATTACTTCAAACTTTAAACATCCCACCAACGTGGAAAAAATAAAATGCGGGCATTGGTCAAAAGAGATATACACTGAAGGCATTCCTTTTCTTTGTTACTTTTTGTTCTTTGGGCAAACAATAAATTCACAATCCACCAGCACTAATCATTCACACCTATTTGGTTCTTCACCTTTTCTTTTCCTGAATCTTGAGACTACTGTGAGTGAAGTTCCCAAAGTAGAGAAACTAGGAATATTTACAGGCTTGGGCAGTTTGAAAAAGAGCTACAGCTATAAGAGAAAGAGTGGATGATTCAAGGAAGAAAAAAACAAACAGCTGTTGGAGCCACTCTTGAGAATATTGTGGAAGTGTACACTAATTTGGTCAACACAGAGATAAGAAAGATATCTTAGCCACTTGCAAAAGTATGTGATTTACATTTGAAGAAGTGGCTCATTCCAATGTAATGCCAATATTGAACTAACTGCAACGACTGCAAATTTGACAGCAACGCATGCTCATCACATCGGCTACCAAAAGAGGTGCTACAGCCTAAAGATTTGGAACAGAGCTCTGGATGATACGAGTAAATACTTGAAAGCTGATTGCTAGATTCTCCATAATTGTATTCACGCATTCCTTATAGATCAAATGACTAAGTCAAGAAGGATGCTCATCTAGGTGGAACCATCCCATTAAAGATGTTTCCCCAAATTTTGCCACTTGAGTTGAGCTTAAAGGGTAGTGTTTCTATTCAAAGATAAAGTTCATAAGATGTTTCCCCCAAATTTTGCAAGTTTAGGTTATCTATTGTTTCTGTTCAATAATAAAGTTTAGATGCCACATTTTTGAGCCTGTAACTCATCAGGACTTAGATATCAAGTTCAGTGTCGCAAGAATTATGAACAATTTTAAGATCTCAGCTTTTACTGCAGAAAATTTAGTTTACGAAATGAAATTGCACCAGAGACAAACCTAGTATGCATCTCCGCCTTTGCTGCAAGCTTTGCAGTATGTTCCAGTTCTGCCTGCTTGTAAAATTCCAAATCTGACTCGGTCTCACCATCCAAATCAACTTCTGGAACTCCCTCATTCACAAGAGTTCCAGATTCATCATCCACATCATCAACAGTTCTTATTCCAGCCCCAGCCAAAACTCTAAGTTCATGCTTTCTTCGCCTCTCTCCTATGTCATCTCTTTTTGGTAAATCATCGTCACCAGAAACAACCTGTTAAAGGAAAGACATTACATGAAATATTAAAAAGCCTAATAAACACAACACAGCATATTGACATCTAAAATGGCTAAACAGCAGATCCTACAAAACCAGGAAAGAATGATAATTATAAGTCAATAATATTTGCATAGACAGTGTACAAACTCCAAATTGTTTAACCAAGAAATAACAAAAGGCAAACAACTTTGAGAAACATCAATTCATGTGTAGTCTACAACATGTGGCCTTCCTCTAAAGAAAAAAGGTGGGAATAGACTTCAGGGGCCATTCTTTTTTTATCGGCAACAATAACAATTGTATAACCTATTCTATCCTAGTCTACAAGGGAGGGGGAGCCTAAAGAGGCTTTTTGTGTTCGGAGCTAGCAGGTATGCAGACCCGCTAGACCAAAGGGGTGCTATGGCACCATCTTTGGATTTTTTTTGCTACAGGTGGGGTTTGAACCCCCACCTACAGCCCAAAGAGGAACTTAAGTTCCTCCTTGGTGGCCACTGAGCCAAGCTCAGTGGTTTTACTTCAGGGGCCATTCTGACAAACAGATATAGAACCCAAGGAAAAGAACATTGCAAAGCCATCTATATAGGACTTCGAAGGGGTAAAAAAATTTTACATGAGATTTATTTTAGATAGCCAAACTGCATTAAGAACTGCTCAGCAATCATCACCTCATGGAAGATGCACCAAGTACCAAAAAACTCAAGGCTCCACATGCCTGATAGGTCCACCAGAGAACTGAGAGTCGCATAATTAGCATGATATAGCATTGACAACACATAATTGATGCTATTTCCAATCAGTTATCTACAATTACACAAAGGTCACCTATGAACTGAAAAACTTAGACCCATGTAGTTCAGAAACCTTCATTGTTGCTACGATTGAAACTTGTCTTCCAAGATGCCTTCGTGCAACAATAATGGTGGCTCCATTTTGAGCTAGGGCTTTACAGTTTTGACACACTGAACAAACCTGCTTCCAAGCACGTTCCAGATTGCAGCAGGAGACTTATTGTTGTATGTTAATACATATCTCTTTTTTTATTGTTTCCCTTTTTCTTGCCATTTTTTGTTCTCAGGGAGAAAAAAGGGGAAAAGTCTAGCACACGATGACACAGGTAAGCATAAAATGCTCTCTAGCAGTTACATCTACAAAGTCTGGTTGAGTCTTACGCATCTCAAATCTCCTAGAAGGCTCAATCCAAAATACAATCAAGAGACTTGGGAAATAAATCAAATTTGAGAATCATGTATAAGCCAATTAAGCCGCATATATCCCATTTCTCCAACCACAAAAGAATCTCAATGAATCATAGGACAAAATGTCCTGGTCACGTGCTGGACAACCAAATGACTGAAATGGAATCCTAGATCTCCAAAAACTTGTGTTACCGGAAGTATGAAATGCAAATCCCAAAGTTATGGATAACAGAAAAAGGAGCACACTGACAATGCCCTAGTTAGCAAGCAATTTGATGACTGACTGTCATAATTCTATTACCACGTGGTATCACACTTCCAAAAGATTATATTTTTCCTCCATTATCCAGGACACCAAATCAAAGTCCATTACCTTTATCTTATTTGCCTGAGGAGCCACAAGCTTGGAGAGTTTAAGTGGATGCAAAAGACTCCCATTCCTGAGATCTGTTCGATGATTGACCTTTTCTAACTCAATAGCATCATCATCAAAGTCCTCTAATGTCTCAAGTTGTCTGTTTCAAGTTTGAACATCTTTTGTCAGTATCATCATTTTTCTTGGGCTGCTCCCTATAGAAAAACAGATAAGTGGAATTGATGAACTTTCAAGGATGAGTGATACCCATTAACAGGTAGGGAGCGCTTTTTATCTCTATAATGCTTGTTTGTTATAGAACTAAAGATGCCCTTCTGCTTCAATTTCTCCTCAAGGGCAGCTCTTACTTTTAACATCTCCATGCTCTGCTTACCAACTTGATCATCCTGTAAATTTCACATCCAAACAGATAATAGAGAAGAAATGGTTATAGCTCAGTTAAATTTCTACAGTTGCAAGAACGTTTATGCTGTCTAGCTTATCTATGTTTGTCTGCTACATATACTTGTAGGTCATGCTTCAGGAAAAATTATGCCTGCCAGTCATGAAAGCAATAGCAGCAGCACAAACACAAAAACTCAACGCAAATTAGCCTGTAAGCTCCATGTGTATGACTAACCTGATGCCTGGATTTTGATTTCGTCACCTTGTACTCCTTGAAAGAATCCTCTTCAACTAAAGAAGCTCCTTCATGAGCCTAAAATAAAATCAATATACTTATGTCTGGTAAGGAACAAATGCTGAATGGACTGAAAAGTATTAAATAAGAGATAATCAAGAGGAAATTGGGGCACTTCAACACGTTAGTTACCCCTGGTTTCTCTATTGTCTCAACAGGGACAGCAGCGGGCTTGTGAACCTCCGAACAAGATACAGAGTTTGCTGGAACATTCTCTTGAACCAGCTTCTCCACTCTCAGAGCAGATTCATTCTCGTCCAGAATATCCTCAAGCTCAGGAGGAAGATTGTCATCAAGTTCCTTCATCTACAATTAGAGGAGCGGAGTTACTACTTTCAGGGATTCCAATACTAATAGCATAGTAATTGTGAAGGTTTAGGAACTGCAGAAATTGCTTAAGTGGCGGAAACGACTATAGAAAACATTACTTTGAGGTATAACTTTAAGAGATTAAAGCCATACCCAGGAAGAATAACTGAACAAACTCAAACAACTAAAAGAAGACATCCAAGCAAATAGCACCCAGAGGAATAAATAGTATAAAGAGTAACCTTTTAGTATATAAACTATGATCAACTTGTGCACTGACAACTCTAAGCTCTCCTTTTGATGCACAATAAGATAATACAAAGCTACTTTACTAATGTAAAACAACCTAACGCTGCCCATGATGTACCACATCAACTAAGATAAATTACAACTAAATGTCATGAGAAATAACCAGAGAAAGATTCCTATGAAGCAACAAACACTTGTATGGATTATCAGGTAGTAACTACTTACCTCTCCCTACCTATGTTAGTCCTAAATCTTCTCTATATATAACACACAAAAGATTAAGTCCTCCAATCACAAGTCATAAACATATAGCTTGAATATTTCCCAAGCAAAAAATGATTCTTATGATATTTAGATACATATATATGAACAAAAATAAAGACATATAAGTTAAGGAAAAAATAGAATTGAAATCACAATTACAGGTTGTGAGCTATCCCTCTATTAAGCATTACCATACTATACATGCAACTTCTTTTTATTAGGATCCAGTTGTCTCACTCACCGATGAGTATACAGTTTCTGGATAAATCAGAGAGTTTTAGACACAGATTAATAACAAATACTGTTTAACATGCACATGCATCAAATAACAAACTACAATAAGGCACTCATACAACCAAAGAGACAGCTGGGACAGATTCCATTAGCAGCAATGTCAAAATAGCTCAACTTCTGCAGGTCACCCAATTACATCTAGATTTTACTTTATTTTTTTTAAAGAAACATGGATCCGATTGGGAAAGCCTTTTTTTGCAACTAAACTATGAACAGAAGGCTAATGTAATGGAAACACATTATAGGTAATAACAAAAATGTGTTTGAATATGAATCCTAAACGCTCAATTGCTGAAGGTATTTGAATACAGGTTGGACTTCACATATTAGATGTCTAGCTAAAAAGGGAAATGAAATGCCAAACAATAAAGCAATCTAATGAGCATATTCAAATAGAATAGAGACTGATTCTCGTATTTTATTCCACCTATTTAACATTTGATGCAGGATAACCACATAAACTATGAACATAAGAAAGTAAACTATCATTTTCACCTACTGAAGATAATCCTACTTTAATTTCCGTGAGAAAATCATTACAAGAAGAAATGCAAAGAACAAAGACTTGCAGTTACTGCATGAAAAATAAATCTTCAAAGAATCAAAACATGCATACACCAACCCCACAGTGACCTTAGATACGAAATATTCATGTGATGGGTTAAATTACAGAAATCTTCCATTCACTTAGATACTAATAATGAGGAAACAACCTTGTCCAATAAATTCTTGATCTCCACAAGCCTAGAAATTACAGGATGATCACGAACAGGCTGCCCTTCTGACTTGAGAAGAAGATAGAACGTAATTGCCTGGCAATAGGAGAGTAAAAGTTGCTGTTTGATCTCCATATAATGCATCCCTCCTTTGATTGCATTCTTTACATCTCTGATCTTCACCAAAGCACAAAAGCTTCATCAGTATGTTAATTGCATTTTAGCACTGTGCTGATTACTATGTCCTTTAACAAGTGTGGAAACGGTGAGATGGAGAGAAAAATTACTAGAGCATATTGCAATCAGAGCAGAAAGATGATAGCAAAATTTCATTGTCACGCTTTATTTTATTGAAATTCAACACATCTTTGTCAATGCTTTCTAGTCACACAATTGTCTATCTTTTATTGCATAGACTTGTTACAGATTGGCTACTAAAGGCAAAGCTACACCACAGATGAGTCAAGCAATCCACTTACACTTTAGAATTCTAAATTGGATTGACCTACCAAGAAACTGGAGGTCAAGTACATGTAGAAAATATTTAAGTTCATAAAATTACAAAAAAACATGCAACAGAACAAAACCTGGTACTTCCACCTTCCTAGACATCCTCAGATACATTTTATTTGTCACAAAATGGTTCAACCAAATTTTAAAGAGACTTTAGTAACTCCAGTCATGATTTGTCTGCATTACACATTTTAATTTACATTCGACAAACTTCACTTCTAAAATTTTCGAGAAAACAAAGGCTTAATCTTCATCATTTAGGACAACGGAGAGGTAGGCAATTTTTTTCAAGATTTGGTCAATCATGGAGATCTATGTACTGACACACAATAGGCTTAAAAGACTGGGCCAAAGGTGAGTATACCTTGCTTAAGAGTGGATTCACCTTGTTTTCAAGCTGCCCAAGTGCATCATCAAGTTCTGACAGTAAACCAACTAACTCTGGTGCAGAACTGTGCAAAAACAATTAATTGAGGTGAGAAATGCAAATTTAGTTTTTGCAAACCTGAAAACTACAGCCACACAGCATCAATGAGCAAGAACAAGTCTTCTAAAAACAGTTATCAGGGCTTAGGTATTTGAAATGCATATCCCACTTTAACCTAATATACTTTCATTATTAGTCTTGGTAAATAACCTCCAGGAAAATATGTTGAGAACTACCTCGAAATGATGCAGTGAATTTGATAAAAAACTTTCATGCACATAGAAAGCTCAAGAAATCATTCAATCAAACCTCGCTGCAATGATTCCTAAAAGAAAAAGAGCTGCTAACAATAATTAACTTTTTATCCAAAATGTTCGCCATAGGGACCCATGAACAAAATTTTGAGAATAAAATTGTAAACTCAAAATGGAACTAACATTTCAATCATTATACTAGGCAACGATCATATTATTAATGGACTTTGTACCATTACCAGACTCAGACAACATGAACTGTAGAAAGAGTTGGGATATTACAATTTAATTCTAACTGTATTTCAAGAAACCTTCAGATGAAATGCTTGGAACAGAGAAGTAACTATACATCTAGAGTTGAATTCTGTCACCCAAAAAAATAAAACTAATAAAAAGAAAGAATTGAATTCTATCTATTGGCAAAAAGCAAACAATGGTTAGCTAAAAGCTTATCAGGGCTAAGAGAAGGGAATCAAATGTCCCCTCATACTATAAAATGCTTGACAATCCTGGCCTTGGCAGCAATCACCAACTGTGTTAATGCTTGCGAAATATCCCAATACAGTTATTATATTTAAATCAGAATTCTTCACATTCCCATCCTAGAAAGCAATCGAGAATACATTAATACTGTTCAGTAATCCTTGTCAAATTATATCAGCAATTGAAGCTTCTTCTATTATACAATCTCAGCAGTGCTCAATATAGTGGACAATTAAACTGAGTCTTGACTGTAAAAGAGAGCTGCTCACCTATTCAGCACATCCATTTGCTCTTCCCTGGTCAATGCATTTATGTCTTTCTTCACTTCCTCATAGGCAGTTGCATTATCTTCTTTACCTTCTTTGCTTGCATAAGGTTTAAATGCAGGTTTTCCATGGACCAAAATTTCCTGAAATAGCCAACTAAAGATGAATTGATCTGCAAAATTCTCCTGCAATAACCAGAATACAAAGCATAAATTCCTCAAATTTAAAAGAGGGAAACCCACCTCGAATGTGGGTTCCTTGTCACCCTCATTGTCGGTGACATCCTCAAGACCAAAATCTTCTTCTGTCAAAGATTTTGCCTTTTCCTTCTGCAATCTCAAAACCTCTTCCTCCTCTTCAGCAGGTAGCTCCTCATCACTTGATTGTATCTGAAATTTTAATGTCCCTTCAATGCTCAACATCGCTCGCATGTAACAAACAGAAATTCATATGCTTGCACAATATCATATTTAATCTATTAGCTTTTGTTTACAAGGGCATTCCCCCTTTGGCCCTATGAACTTCACCTCATAGTCAATGTTCTCAGCATTGTAAAAAGTACTCTTTGCTCTGCCCCAAACAGCCCTTTCTTTTTCTTCTTCCTCTTCAGCATCATCATCCATTTCCTCCTCAACCCCACCAGTCTTAGCTCGTAAATATTTCTGTTGCCTCAGAACTACAATCATTAATTGAACTTTTCAAGTAAGATGACACAATATCTTTTGGCAGCAGTAACACTTCACTAATGAAAAAGGAAACAAGATTTGAACTCGAAAGAAATGCAAGAAATTAAATTAAAAAAAAAAAAAGAAGCTACACGTCCAACCATCATGTCCTACACCATATAAAGTAGTGTATATAATAGTATGCACCCAATCGTGCAAATCTAAAAGTTAGTTGCTTCAGAATGAAAGTGTAGGCTCTTGAGTAACAATGTTTGATAGATGTCATAGTCATAAAGCTCTAAACTACCAGTGTCTTCTGCCATGTTTTTCAAATGTTCTCAAGTAACGAATAGCATGTAGTACTTCTATACTATTGAAAGTTTGGACTAAAAAGGAAGATGCTTTATTCATCCTTAGATACATTTCTGAAATATCATAACATAATTGTTTAGAACTATCAAGATTTAAGATTTTGGAAGTTAGAAAGACGTGAAAAGAAACAGCTTGAATGATACGATCCCTTCGTCAGCCAGAATATAAGTAAAGTACAATTCCAAAGCAGCTTCATCAAGTACAAGTGAATAAACCATGTCCTAGCAATCAACACATAATTTTGTCAAAGCATCACAACATTGTCCAATATGTTACTCAACCAAAAGAGAAAATAAGATAACTCATTACGTTTTGCAGCAAAGCCCGTAAGTTGAGAGTCGTCTTCAATGTCATCATCGTTGTCATCCTCATTATCATCCATATCATATTTTTCATCCTACGAACAACAATATAGAAAAATGAGCCTATGAAAACTTATCCAAATACAATACTACTACACTTCCAAAGGAAATAAAAAAACAGTATACACCTCAAAGTCAAGAACTGGATGCTCAAAATCAGCATCAGACTCCCCTGCATCTTCATCTAAATCTAGTGGAACTATATCTCTCTGTTTGTGAACTTCAATCAACCAAAAAAAAAGAACTTTATTCAATCAGCAAATTCCACAAATAAATAACATTGCAACATTCTTTTTCTTTTCTCAGTGAACAATTTGAGAAGCAAATTCAACCAAAAAATATAAATTAAAACAGAAATTGAAAGGCAAAGAAAGCTTACAAGCATCAATTTCATCATTCATCATATCATCATTGTCCTCATCGTGATACGTTGTCTTTTTCTTCGAGTCATTATTCTCTTTCTTCTTGTACTTACCTGCTTTTCTTCCCATTTTGCTTCTACCTAACCTCTTACGATGTCAGTAACTGTCTGGTTTAAAATCAAACAACAAGACTGCTCATTCACCATGTTTGTGAGCAAAAAAAAGAGGCTTAAACAATCATAAAAACTCAATTGAAAAAATGCAGAATTCCCTTTGCACCATACAGGCTAAGTATTCCATTTCTTTCAATACCTCCAATTGATTTCAACTTTAAGATTGCAAAATAAACTTAACTTTTACATTTAATTTCTCAAACCATCAGTACTTCTAGTTCCCAGAATCTTGACTACTAGTTCCCAGATTCTTAAAGCCGGTAAAAGGCTCCACAAACCAGCCAAGAATGAAAACAAATAAGGTAAACAATACTTTCCTTTACTTCATAAATTAGACTACAAAAATCATTTTCTTTAAATTTTGAGCCATGAATAAAACATAACAACAAAAAATAACTACAAAACCTAAGATAAATACATAGAAAGAAATATAACAGCAGAAAAAAGAGAAAGAAGAAAAAGCAAGAGAAAATTACAGAGACCAGAGAGACAGATAAAAAAAGGGAAGAAGGTAGGTAGAATAGCTGGGTGGTGGAAGGGGGAAGAGGAGGAGGAAGAGAGAAAAACTAGCGACGGGGGGTGTACCTGGTGGCGGGTGGCGGAGGCAACGGGAGTAGCGCGGCCTGTGGTAGGGTCTTTCAATTCCCAGTTTTGAATTCGGCCACGGAGGTGGGCAGTACTAGGAAAGATGAATTCCTAGTAAGGGTCAAATAAGGGTTAATCACAAAAGTTCCCCTCGAGGTTTGGTTCGAGTTGCAGTTTTACCCCATAATGTTTTTCTTCTTACTTTACTCCCAATTTCAATCCAACTCGTCAAATTTAGTATTAAACCATTGAGTCGACGAAAATATTTCCCTACATGGTTTATAAAGAAAGGCCTCCGAGATTCTTTGGACGTTCAAATTACAAGATATGATTTTTGCGATAGAATGATTGTTTTATTTTTGAACTTTTTATATAAAATAAATTGGAATTATTAATATTTTTTAACCCACAATTGTAATGCACGTAATTACTTTAAATGAATGAATCTGCACTTTGCAAAAAAAAAAATCGAGAAATATGTGCTCCATGGCAATCAAGGAAGAAAAATATGTGGTTTGCTATAAAGTTTTAACTGTCTTCCACGATGTTGACTGCAATACAACACACATTCTCCTTCTTTTTTTTTTTTTTTGTCTCAAACTTCAATGTCTACCCACTTCAATTATTGACATGCATGATAATTTTTGGACAGAAAAATAAAGAATATTGGTATTTCAATTTATTTTATCCAAAAAAAATTATTCCATGATTAAAATCAAACCTTGTAATCTAATCATAGAAGGTAATGTTGCTGTGGTCTTCCCTTAGAAACCACATAGAAGGGCATTTTTATCAAATCAAATGTTTTAATGGTCAACTAATTGAGTTGGACGGAAATAAGGGGTAAAGTGAGAAGAAAATACACGTTAAAGGGTAAGCTGCAACCTTGATGAAACCTTAAAGGCAGTTTTTGAGTTTAACCTAATAAATAATGGGTAAACACATTAAGCCCCCTTTTTGCAAAAGTCAGGTATCTCTCATGTTGATACTCTCTTATTTGTAATAACATCAAAAAACTTCCCCTGCTATTAATTAGTGGAGAAAACTCGTTTCGTCATAAATTCACTCAGTTTTTCCAAATTACAAGTCAAATGATACAAGTAATTATTTTCAAAAAAAAAAAGGGTGAAGAAATATCCAGAAACTTAATTGGTTTAAATATCAATAACCAATATTCTGACCAGGACATAACAAGGGTCATGCTTAATTGGAAATATCCAGAAACTTCTAACTAAGCTACATCAAGAAACACTTCTAATTCAAAAACTCTTAGGGTTGTGTTTGGATTGCATTTTCCGTCATTTTTCATGGAAAAATTACTGTAGCGATTTGATATATGTGAGGGAAAAAGGTGATAGGGAAATATGATCACGGAAAACGATAATATTTTTCGACGGAAACAAGCAATCCAAACAAGGCATAATAATCTGACCAGGACATACAACCCCCGAGGAAATATCCAAAAACTTGATTGGAATTTATGCAACGTGCTCTTAATCTACAGCTTTATAAACTTAATAGCTACCATGTCACGCAAATAATAATAATATTACCATGAAAGAATGAAAATTGTTCTCACTAAATGGTCCTAATTAACTTAAACCCTGTTTATTAACCTAATTCAGCACTTAAATTTAATAGATTCAAATCTTAACACGTTCCGACGCGTTTGATAATAAAAAATTGAACATCTGAATTAATTAAGTGGCACTAAATTTTCTAGATAAAACTTGCTCTCAAAATTAAGTGATAAGTTATTCACTTATCATTTAATATGATATATACTTAAATATATCAAATTTAGTACTTAAAAATTCAATAATTAAATGGATTCAGATTTCAATTTTCAATTTTATCAATCACACCCTTAATGCCTGTGTCAGTTTCATAAAAGTATCAACTACTGAATCATTCAGATGTCATTGGTTTAAATAAAACTTTTGGAGATTGAACGCTAACATCAGCTCTCAATTTATTGAACTCCCAATCCCGCAACCAAACTGATGTCTCCACAATTATCATGGCTTTAGCAAATACAAGTAATTTCAAACAATTGTAAACCGATACAACTTCAATCAGCACAATAAATTTTAAAGATCAAGCACCCAAATAGAATCACTGAAAATGTTAAGATGGTCTCATACTCGATGGAAGACTGGGTATTGTATAAATAATGATTCTATCTCATAAAACATTATTGTTCTTTCATCAAATGGGCAAGCTAAAAATTGCAGCTTTTATATCACATACCAAAGCATCAAAACTCGCAAAAAGAGTTGCAGCTAGAGGTAGCAAATCGACCCACTTAACTAAATTTACCCATACCCGTCCATGAATAGATGGGTATGGATATCTTAAATTTTTGTATATGGGTATAAATGGGTTACCCAATAATACACATTTATTAAATGGGTATTATTGGGTAATCCATCAAATCCAATTAATCCATTTAGAATTCTCTTCCCTCCAAGTCTCTTCTTTTCCTCCACCTTTTTTTTTCAAATTTTTCATTTTGCCATGATGTTAACTACTTTTGTTTTTATTATTATTATTATTATTATTATTTGTTTGTTTTATCTTATTATTTTATTTTCTCTTAGTTTGTTAACTTGCACATTTTTTAGCATTACCAATTTATGATAAATTTTAGCCTATTTTCTTATCTTTATAAAATGAAATTTTAAATTTATATATGAAAAAAAATTAGGGGTTCAAATTTTTTGGATTAAGTTTTTATATTAATTTTTATAGTACTTAGTTCAAATTTTTATATTCTTATTATTCAACTATTAAATAATAAGTAATTTTGTGGCATAGAGTATAAATGAAAAAAAATTGATAATTAAGTTTATTGAACATTATAAGTAAATATTTAAAACTAATGATGGGTACAAAGAGTGGTATAAATTGATAACTTAGTTTGCAAAAAGTTAAAATAAATGGGTTATAAATGGGTAATTGGGTTATCCAATTCATTTTTTGACTTACCCATTTATACCCATCTAATTAAATGGATATAAATGAGTTGACTCACTTATACCCATTACCCATTTTACCCAACCCAAACTCGCCCAAGTCAGTCATTTTGATACCTCTAGTTGTAGCTAATCTACCAGATAAAAGAATTAGAACTAAAAAAAATGGCATGAAGAACGAAGTAAGGCATGGATGAATTTTAAAAAATCCGCTATAAAAAAAAAATGGAACCAATTAAAGACATAACTGAAGGGAAAATTGGACAAAGGGATTTAACTGGAAACCGAATTGAAGGATGATTTGGTTTTTACCTACAAAATATTATTTGGCGTTATCCAAACACACCCATTGTTTCTAGGCCTGTCAACGGTCCGGGTCAAGACCCGGATCTGGACCGGATCCGTGAAAATATTGCAGGTACGAGTAAGGATTTAATTCCATTACTTGAACCCGAATCCGGATCCGTTTTGCCAAACAAAAACGGGTCGGATACGGAAAATATAGTATTCCGACCCATGTTAGACTCGGATCCGGATATAAATGGATTAATAATTTAAAATATATATTTATCAATATAATTTGATTAGAGTGATGTATTTGAGTAAAGTGAATTTGATTTCTTTTCTTATTTGATTTTTTTTATATTAGTTAGAAATTAGTTTACAATTATATTTTTTTCTCATTTTTATTAGAAATTATAAATTTTGATAAATTTTTTCGGGTAAACCCAACCTGGATCCGAGACCCGTCGGATCCGAATCCGGAACATAGAACAGAAGACCCGTCAGATTCAGGTCCGGTGTGGTGTGCAGGGTTCGGGTCCGGAATAATGAATTTCGACCCGAACCCGACCCGTTGACAGGCCTAATTGTTTCTATGCTGCTGTTGTTGAAGAAGCAGAGAGGGGGTGGGGGATGGGAAAAGTGTTAACGTTTTCTTAATTGTAAGGACCCGGATAACTATTTGCTAACGGTGTCATTTTAAGTTCATTTGACTGTAAAATTTCTAAATTTTTGGTCCACAAGTTGGAAAAACAAAAAGTGGTGGAAAAAATTAGGGGAGGATGAAAGCTTTTCCTGATGGATGAATAATGAATGTGGGGAAAGCAATTTTAAACATTAAAAAAAAATAGAAAAAGATGCTTCAAATTGTAGCAAGTTTTGGACAAGCTAACGAATTTAGTATTTTTGAATTCGAATTCGACTTGATCAACTCGACTTTGACTCGTGCTCGTACTCGAGCCGCTTATGATTTGCTTGCAAGCCGCTCAATTAGTTTACAGCCTAGGCACAAAGATAAGGGAAAATAACTTGAATAAATATTTTATAATTCTTAGAGCATACTTAAAAAGTAGGGATAATTTAAACCTGGCGTACGCAGCCATCCTTGTTGGGAGACTCACCCACCATAGCCAGGTGTGCGATCCGGGTTGACCAACGGATTAGTCAGGGCAAAGCCCTGGATACCGTGGCAGGCAACCAAAAAAAAAAAGTAGGGATAATTTTAAAAAATCCCTTGAGATTTCTCATAGTTTTACTTAGCTCCCTCAAGTTTTAAAAATCTCACTTAACTCCCATATTTGGAACTTTTGTGTAACATATAAGCCCAAATCAAAAAAGTTGAATAGAAAAATAATTGTTAGAGAGAAAATATAATTTGGTGCCAAAAATGCCCTTACTAATTGTTGCAACTTTTTTTTGAGAAACTATTAAATAAAGGGTTAATCACATTTTATTCCCTTAAAGAATATCTCATTTCTCAGTTTACCCCCTAACCTTTAATTTTGCTCATTTAACCTCCTTTAAGACAAAATTGCCCTTGCATTATTTTGACTTTTCACTTACCTTGTTTTCCTTTTTTTTTTATTTCTTTTTCTCTTTCTTCTTTATTTAATTCTTCCTCTTTCCCACAAAAATCTTCACCTTAATGATTGAAATTAAAAAAGAGGAATTGCAGAGATCTATCTTCTGATTAAATGATTAAAAAAATATTCAAATTACTTTCCTAAAATACAATTTTTTTAGCCTTTCAATTCTTTTTATTTTGGATTTTCCTCTTTCCTTTCTAGTTTCTCATTTTATTCTCAAGAAAATATCATAAGATGAAATTGTTTT